CATGCAGTTCAAAGTTTAGAGGTAATTGAGAGGAGGCCACCCCAGGCCAAGTCGACAATTGCCACTTCAATTACTATGCTAGTACTCCCCCCTTCTTCTTCTTCTATTGTACTGCCAGATGAGCACATTTCTTATTCTTCTACTTTATGTACTACAAAAATATATGAAAGAGAAAAGTATGTTGTAACCTCAGAGGGGAAGATAGGGTTTCTTCCAGCACTTACACTGAAGGACTTTGTTCTCCCTTCATTTGATGAAGAAATAATAGAAGAAGGTGATTCTGGCTATTTCTGGTGTTCTTTTCCTACTGCTTTTACTTCTATTTCTAGTATTTCTGCTCCTTTTAGCACTCTCTTTTCTAATACTTTATATGTGAATGATTCTGGTGAAGAGTCCGAGTATGAGTATAAAGATGAACCTATCTTTATAATTTCAGAGGGTGGATGTTATATGGATTCAGAAGATGAATCCGAGAACCCACTCCAGCCATTTTCCTTAGAGCTAACACAAGCCACCACCACTGAACAAAAGGAATCTCCTGTTGAGGATGACTCAATACATGAAGTGTATTTGCATTCAGGGAAGGTCATTTCCCCTCGGATGGCTAAAAATACAAAAGAAAAAGATAAGAACATTTTTACCCAGCAGGGATGATCCTATCCCTTCCTCCCAAGAGCAGTCTAAGGAGAAAGGGAGACGCCCTCAGCTGGAGGTCAATTATAATGTACAGGCTCATTAAAGAAATATTCCTTCCCTTCTTAGCGTCTATGACGCTCTGATGATGTCTCCTGACTTGAGAGAGACACTGGTGAAAGCTCTGCTTGAGCTAAAGCCCCATCAAGCTTTCTTTGCTTCTGATTCTGTTAGTGTTGCATGCCATTTAAAAGAGATGCCATTCATTACCTTTTCTAGTCATGATCTTCTTTTAGGGATACTAAGCACCATCGTCTCTTATATGTCACTGCTGAAGTAAACGGTTATGAGTTGAACAAGGTCCTCATTGACCAAGGGGCTTCAGTAAATATCCTAACATATAAAACTTTAAAGGCCCTCTCCCTAGGTCATTTGAAGCTCACCTTTGATAATATTATGTTGAAGGGCTCCAATGACCATGGCCAGCGAGCTCTAGGGTCTATCACCCTACCTTTGAATTTTAGAAATTTCCTAACTAAGGTAAAGTTTTATATAATCAAGGCTGATACTTCATACAGGGCTCTCTTAGGAAGGCCTTGGATCCATGAGTATGGAACGGTGCCCTCTACCCTACACCAATAAATGAAGTTTATGAGGAATGATACCGAGTATACCATTCCTGGAGATACCCAATCTTTTTTCGTGCATGAGGTCTCTATTTACGATGATACCAAGTACTATGTTTCTCGGAAGACTCATAAATCTCTACCTACTCAGTCGCTAGTGACACCCTCTAGTGTTGTATAAGGTCCTACGTAGTCACCTGCATAGGGTCCTATATAATTGCTATAATAGGGTCCATCACAAGTTAATATTGAGCCAGGTGTTTCCACTGCACATTCTGAAATAGATCCTTCTCAATTTGTAGTGAGGCACGATGTTACCCCTAGTAGAGGTAGGGGAGGTAGAGGTAGAGGTAGAGGTAGAGTTTTAATCCGTGAGACATAGAATTATGACACTCGTACACCTCCTCCCCCACACCTTTACAGTTCTTCTTTGATTGTAGAGTTTGACTCCTCAGATGATGAAGTGATTGATATCCTTAATCATCCACTCGCTTTATCATCTCTATATTCTGCTGGTTATGATTCACGGCCTACCTTTAGTAGCAATTTGATACCTGAAAATGGATTAGTTGTTGATTGTAGCTCGGATAAGGAAAAGGACTTTCGACATTAGACCACTAATGAATAACCTTCTCCCCATCAGATATGTAGGATAGGAGTTAAGGATTCCAGTCAAAGATCTTAGGATGCTCCCCTTGTTGATGACGATAGTACAATATGGAATAGCGAGAATTATATACCTCAATTGTACGAGATGTTTGGCCGATACAATTTGAGTATCCCTTTGTACCCTGTAGTATAGATGCCCCACTGGGTCCTGCGAGCCAGGATTCAGAGGAGACTGCTATGGATATAGAGTTCAAGAGTGCCCCTTGTTACTTTTCATCTACTATAGAAAGTTTTGTTAAGCGGGGTCTCATTCGTTCCACTTGGCCCGACGAACAAGCTCTATAGTAAGCCCGAGTTTGGCGGACTAATTTCCCTCAATGTATAGGAGGTGTAGGTTGTATGGGATTAAATCATTCTGATAATGCCAACATTCGTTTTGTTTCCTATGCTTATCTGGTTGTTTTTCTTACCGACGAAGAAGACCCAGATAGTGATGAAGATAGAATACTCGATGCTCCATAAGAGTTTAAAGATAGCATCACTCCTTCCATGGACGAACTATGTGAGGTAAACTTAGGCACTGAGTCGGATCCTAGGCCTATCTTTCATAGTGCCCTATTATCTGATTTAGAGGCTCAAGAATATATTAAGTTGTTGTCAGAGTTTAGAGACTATTTTGCCTGAAACTACACTTAGATGCCCAGTCTAAATCTAGAAGTAGCAGTGCATAAGTTGGCCATTAAACCTGATGCAGTCCCTATTAAACAAGCACCTCATAGGATAAGGTTAGAGATAAAATAATAGATGATCGCTGAAACCAAGAAGCTTATAGAAGCAGGTTTCATTAGGGAAGAGAAGTACCCTACTTGGCTTGCCAATATTATTCTAGTCTGAAAGAAGAGTGGACAGATTCGTGTCTATATCGACTTCCATGATTTGAATAAGGCATGCCCAAAGGATGATTTCCCTCTAATTATCCCCGAGCTTATGGTGAATATAGCATATTCTCATTCATGGATGGTTCATCTGGCTACAATCAAATAAAGATGAACTCTGGGGATAAGAAGTTTATTGTATTTCGAACACCTATAAGTGTATTTTATTACAAGACGATGCACTTCTGTCACAAGAATGTCAGGGCCACCTATCAACATGCTATAACTATCATCTTCGATGAGATGATACACGAGCAAGTTGAATGCTTTGTAAATGATTTGGTAGTCAAAAGCAATGTCCGTGGAGATCACCTTCAAGATCTATGAATCATTATTGAATGCCTACGCAAATTTGATTTAAAGATGAATCCTTTAAAATGTGCATTTGGAGTTAGTGCAGAAAAATTCTTAGGATTTATAGTTTGCTACTGTGGCATTGAGATAGACCCTTTTATGATTAAAGCCATAGTAGATTTAAAACCTCGTAAAAGTCTTACCAAATTGAGGTCCTTTCAGGGTAAACTTGCTTTCTTGCGGAGATTTATCTCCAATCTTTCTGGTAGGTATCATCCTTTCTCTTCCCTAGTGAAGAAGGATACCCAATTCCACTGAGATGAGAGTTGTCATGAGGCCTTTGAGAGTATAAAGCGCTACCTGATGAACCCCCTGTTTTAGCTGCACCTATCCCAAGTAGGTCATTAATTATCTACACTACAGCCCTGTACGAGTCCTTAAGTGCATTATTGACTCAAGAGAATGAGGAAGGCAAGGTGAATGCCTTGTACTACCTCAGTAGGCAATTAATACCTACAGAGATTAAGTACCCAGCAATAGAAAAGTAATGTTTAGCCTTGATCTTTACGATACAAAAGCTTAGGCATTATATACTATCACATAAGATCAATTTGATCTCTCAAGTCAACCTATTGTAGTACTTGATGACCCGTCCGACCCTCTCAGGTCGTCTAGTACAATGGTATATGATACTACTACAATTTGATATCACTTTTTTTCCTCAGTGGGCCGTCAAAAGACAGGCTCTAGCTGACTTTATGGCTAATCACCTGATCCCCGCTAAATCCCCACTCAATGATGTTCTACCTGATGAATTAATCTTGAGTGTGGATGAACAGGAGTCCCCTACTTAGAAGTTTTAATTTGACGGGGCATCATCTATTAAAGCTTTAAAGTCATATGTAACTCTTACATTTAGGGTAAGTTTAGGCTTAATATTTATATCCCCTAAGGTCACACTCTATGATACTCCTGTAGACTATCAGAACCTCATACTAATAATGAAGCTGAGTACGAAGCTCTAATTTTGGGATTAGATTTGGTCATTTAAATAAGTATTATGCGTGTGAAAATCTTTTGAGACTCCCAACTAATAATAAATCAAGTAGCTAGAGTCTACAAAGTACTTAAGCCTAAGCTCATTCCATATTATAATAAAGTAATGGAGCTCATGTGATTTATAGTAGAAGTAACTTTTTCCAGGATCCCCAGATCTGAAAATGGAAAAGCATATGCCTTGGCCAAGTTATCAAAAGAATTAACTGACCGTACTAGAAACCCCATGTCTATTATTGTCTAGTATCGTCAAGCTCTGTACCCTGCAGACTTGTCTTCCCCCGATCAAACCCTCATAGTATTTGCTGTTGATGAGGAGTCAGATTGTAGAGAGCCCTTCATAGAATACTTAAAGCATGGTAGGCTCTCAGATGATAGATCTCTCACCACTCAAATTAGAAAGAGAGCTCTATCGTTCGCCTATGTAAATGAAACCTTGTATCGACTCTCTTTTGACTAAATGTGGTTGAGATGCCTCAATAAAGAATAGGCTAGTAGAGTCATGAGTGAAAAACATGAAGGGCTTTGTGGTGCCCATTAATTTGGACCTAAAATGAAAGGCAGAATTAAATGTCTTGGCTACTACTAGCCGACTATGATCCACGATTGCATGGAGCACGCTAAAAGGTGCCACTAGTGCCAAATTCATGGCACGGTAATTCACCAACCCCCTAATCTGTTGCACCCTACTATATCTTCTTGGTCATTTGAGGGATGAGGCACAGATGTAGTGGGTCCTATAGACCCTCCTTCTTCTAAGGGTCATAGGTTTATCTTAGTTGCCACTAATTACTTCTCTAAATGGGCCAAAGCTGACCCACTTAAGGAAGCTAAATCAGAAGATGTGATGCGGTTCTTTCGTGATAACATTATTTATCTCTTTGGAGTTCCGTGCCGTATAATCTTTGATAATGGCCCATCATTTAGAAGCACCAAAATCGCCAGATTTTCCCGCCGCAATAACATTAACTGGCGATACTCTTTGATTTATTATCCCAAAGCTAATGGCTTGATAAAGGCATTCAATAAGACTCTTGTGCAACTGATAAGGAAAATACTTATTGCAAATAAAAGAGAATTGCATGATAAGTTATTTGAAGTATTATGGGCATATATGACTACCTACCGTACTCCTACTCAATCCACCCCATATGCTTCAGCTTTTGGGGTTGAAGCAGTCCTCCCACTTGAGGTCGAGCTCCCCTCACTGCGTGTGGTAGTTAGCTATAATCTATCTGATGAAGATATTGCCCGATTAAGGTTGGAAGAGCTTGATGGTTTAGATGAGCTTCGCTTACGAGCATATCAGTGCCTTAAGCTATGCCAGGCTAGAATGGACCGGCACTACAAGCACCTTGTTAGACCCCATGCTTTTCGGGTAAGAGAGTTAGTTCTTATTTTGCGTAGGCCTATCATTTTGCATCGGCGCCAAAGTGGTAAGTTTGAGCCTATTTGGGAAGGCCCCTTAACTATAGAGCAAGTTTATGAAGGTGGTGCCTACCAACGTATTGATGCAAATGGCGTTCACCCCATGCCTGTCATCAATGGGCAGTACTTGGAAAAGTACTATGCCTGAGTCTAGTACTTCACAGGGGAGCATCTCTACCGCCTGTAGATATCATTATGTATAGGTAGCTCCTAAAAGGATCCCTCTTACTTTTCAGCAGTTTGTGTGGCCATGACGATTTGTCCTCTACCACACAACATTTTCTTTGAAGAGTATAAAGTTATCCTTAAAGGTGATATGCTAATACGTCATAAGGATGTTTTATGCTTTTGTCTGTGCGCACTAATGACATTGGTGCTATCGCATAAAATTTTTGTTTGTTCTCCCCTTTGTAGGGCTTAGTCCCCCAGTTCCACTTGTCACCCTAAGTGTGGTCTAGGATATCAAAATCAGTGATTCAAGTCTAGTTTTAGGAGAGGATAATGGGTCCACACCCTCCTATGATGGTCAGGTGTGGCGATAGAGATCTATTATCCCTATTTGAGTCTCTTTTTCCTATCGGTCTTGATCTGATAGATGTATCCCCCAGTCCATTCATATGAGTTAGATGTGATCATGGATGTCAGAGACAATAGTTTGGACTCTTCTGGAAAAAGGATATTAGATCCATGCCATCATATACTAGTCAAGAGTAGTAATGTTGATCCTCCATCCTGATTTTGATTTTTGTTATACATAAATTTCACTATGTACTCCCCAGTTCATTCATGTGAGTTGAATGTGGTTTGGGTTATCGAAACTAATTGTTTACTTCTTTACAATATCCTGTGTAATCTCTTTCCCCGATTTTGTTTATGTGGCGAACATGGTCTGGGATATCAAAACCATTCATAGTTCACTCCCTTTTATATGTATATATATATATATATATATATATGTGTGTGTGTGTGTGTGTGTGTGTGTGTGTGTGTGATAAAAAGAGGAAAGCTCTTAGTAGAGCAAAACTTGTTGCCCTTATCAGAGGAGGAACCCGGTAAAACTCTCTAAGGGCATAAATTCCCCAAAGTTCTTCTTTCTTCTCCTTTGAAGCACTTTGATAGTTGCCTCAAGGATGAGTCTACACTCATTTGGTTATGACCCTTTATGATTTTATTTATTTTTTGTTGTGATGTCGTACATCTAGTCTTAGATGATAACATCACTTCTTCATTGAGTTTAGATCTTTCTAAAAAAAGATTGACCCCCTGCTGCCCTTTTTGGCAGCCTACTCGCCCATTCATGCACTGCTCTGAGCTGCTAGAGTGGTCCTATGAATGTGGTAGTGTTACTTTCACTTCACACAAGGTCCTACCTAATTAGGGTAGGTGTTACCACTTTGACCTTCTCCTGATCATGGATTTCACTCATGATTATTGTACTATGCGTCAGGTGTACTCCCTTATCATCTCAGAGTTGTTTCTTGATTGTGATGTAGTACATCTTATCTCAGATATTAACATCACATCCTTAGGAGTCTGGATTTCTTTTAATAGAAGATCAGCTCATTTGTTTCTTTTACCAACCTACTCCATCATTCGTAGCCTACTCTTAGCTGCTATAGTAGTCCTATGAATGTGGTTTTGTTGCTTTTACCCCCCACAAGGTCCTACCCGATTAGGTTAGGTGTTACCACCGTAACCTTATGATGTTTTATCAATCTTACTTATGATTACTATTCTTAGATAGTGAGTGTGTCCCCTTACTACCTAGAGTTGTCTTCTTAGGTGTAATGTAGTATATCTGGTCTTAGATGTTAACATCACTACCTCGAGAATTCTGATCTTCTAGCATGAGATCAGTTCTCCTAATCATTTTTGTGACCTATCCTATTATTTATACACTAGGCTCAGTTGCCAGATTAGTCCTATGAATGTGTTGAGGTCACTTCCACTTTTCACAGGGTCCCATTAGTTTGTGTGGGTGTTACCACTATGGACTTTCTCCTATTCAGAGTTGTTGTCCGTAGTAGCGAGAGTGCTCCCCCGCTAGCACTCTCGCTACTCTGGTTCTTTTTCCCTTACTTGGTGATATGGAGCAACATGCCTTAGATGCCACCATCACCTTTTACTTGAGCTTTGATTTTCTAGTAGAGAGTCAACTCTTCCAGGTCTTTTACCACTTGTTTCCCCATTGAGACCCGACTCCTAACTACTGGAGAGGTCCTTTGGATGTTTTGATATTATTTCCACTTCTTACAGGGTCCCCATCAGTTAATATGGGTTTACCATTTTAGCCTCCTTAATGGTCATTTTTACTAGGCTTAGGCCTATTTTTTTTTGTAGCAGAGGTACCCCCTCGCTACTTCAGTTCCTTTTACTCCGTTGGAATGAGGTTACCCCTTTTGCACTCTACTAGAGATGTATCTCTTCCAGCTTCCTTAAGAGACATCATGCATATGTCCTCCTTCGCTTTTGACTAGGGTTAGGGTTCTCTAGGGGATGCTGACAGCATTTGGATACTCATGGCCACGACGATTTGTCATCTACCATGTGATTCCCAAAGCACTAGAAGGGGTTCCCTATGTGGTTCTACCCTTAAAATTATCCCATTTACGTACTCCTTTCTGCCTCACATCCCTACATAGATCCGTGTCAAGATCATGTTAAGGTGATTTTTACCTCATATCCTACTGTTTGAAATGAACAGATAGATGGTTAATCTTACTTACTTGGTAGAGAGGGCCTGATAGAGCACCTGATAGGTACTCTTCGCCACTCTTTTCTTTCTTCTGATTGTCCTATTGTGATTAGGCAGGCATCATAGCCTAACTTTTTATTCACTCAGTTGAAATGACTGAGTGGGTATTGAGCTCTTTCTCATTTGCAAGGCCGAGCTGGTCGAGCAAATGTTAAAGCTTACCTAGTTAAAGTGAAGCCTTGCCAGAGCACCTGGAAGGTGTCCCTTACCACATCTCTTTACCTCGGATGTCTTGTTAAAGACTAAGAAGGCTTCCATTTTGTAGCTCATGAGCTTCTTGCTGAGGTCAGGCAGAAGTAGTGGATCACCCCAATCCACTATTCCGAAAGGATGAGGAGGAGCAGGATCCTTTTCACCTTTTACCCCGCTATCTAGATATGGTCAGACTGGTAGTTGGTTTTACTTACTGGTTAAAGTGAAACCTTGCCAAAGCACCTGGAAGGTGTCCCTTACCACCTCTCTTTACCCCGGATGTCCTATTAAAGACTAAGCAGGCTTCCATTTTGTGGCTCATGAGCTTCTTGTTGAGGTCATACAAAAGTAGTGGGTCACCCCAATCCACTGTTCTGAAAGGAGCAGGAGGAGCGGGATCCTTTTCACCTTTTACCCCGCTATCCAGATATGGTCAAACTGGTAGTTGGTTTTACTTACCGGTTAAAGTGAAGCCTTGTCAGAGAACCTAGAAGGTGTTCCTTACCAACCCTTTACCCTGGATGTCCTGTTAAAGACTAAGCAGGCTTCCATTTCATGGCTCGTGAGCTTCTTGCTGAGGTCAGGCAGAAGTAGTGAGTCACCCCAATCCACTGTTCTGAAAGGGTCAGGAGGGGCGGGATCTTTTCACCTTCTACCCCGTTGTCCAGATAAGGTCAAATTGGTAGTTAGTTTTACTTACCCGTTGAGCGAGCCCGATAGAGTCCCTGGGAGGCAGTCCTCAACACCCCCTTTACCTTGGATGTCCTGCTAAAGACTAAGCACACTTCCATTTCGTGGCTCATAATCTTCTTGCTGAGGTCAGGCAGAAGTAGTGGGTCACCCCAATCCACTGTTCTGAAAGGATCAGGAGTGCGGGATCCTTTCACCTTCTACCCCGCTGTCATGATACAGTCAGGCTTGTAGTTGGTTTTACATACCTAGTTGAGCGAGCCCGACAGAGTCCCTAGGGGGCCTTCCTCAACACCTCTTTACTTCGGATGTCCTATTACAGACTAGGCAGGCTTCCATTTTGTGTCTTCTTTACTTTTGCTGAAGTCAGGCATAAGTATTGAGTCACCCCAATCCATTGTTCTAAGATGAGCAGGAGGAGATGGGATCCTTTCAGCTTCTAACCTGCTATTTTGATACAATCAGGCAGGTAGCTAGTTTTACTTACTTGGTGGAGAGGGCCTTACAGAGCACCTGGAAGGAACTCCTCGCCACCTTTTTTCTTGAGTGTCTTGTTGTGATCAGGCAGGCACTATATTTCGTGACTTCTCTATTTGTTGTTTAGATTTGATTAGGCAAATATTCAGTCAACCCAATCCACTGTTCTGAGATGAGAAAGAGGAGACGGGCCCCCTTCACCTTCTATTATGCTGTTTCGATACGGTCATGCAGATAGTCGGTCTACTTTACTACTTTACCTTTGGTTCTCTTTTCAGCTCTACCCTCGCCATAGGGTAAGGCAGAGAAAAAAGCCCCCTTACTTTATCGCACTAGTGGTGACCTTTACTTTTGATTCTCCTTCTTCCCTGCCCTCACTATAGGGCAAGGCTTGGGGAGAATTTCTTTACCTTCTTTTCACCCTTGTAGTGATCTTTACTTGGTCCTTTCCTTGGCTCTGCCCATGTTGAAGGGTAAGGCCGAGGGAGGACCCCAGTACTTATTCACCATTTTGGTGATATCTTACTTGTGCACTCCTTCTTTTCACTCTCCTCTAGGCTCTGCCCTCACTATAGGGTAGGGCCAGAGGAAAGGTTTTCTATCTTTCTTCCACCTATTTGGTATCCTTACACTCATGATCTTCACTCTACCTTTCTTTAGCATAGTCGGTCAATGCCAACACAAGCGGTTCATTAGTTGTTTGTCGCTCTTGTTGGGGGTCCATTTGTTGACCTTGATTTTGCCCAAACCTAGGTCAAAAAATTGACCTGGTCAAATTTGACCAGGCTAGACCCCAGGACCCATCCCAATGGGTCCAGGGAGTCAAGCCAAGTCTACTGAGCCCAGACCCAGGTCCTGGGACAACCTGGTTGACCAGGTCAACCAGGGTTGACCCAGATTGACCCCTTCAGCCTATTTGAGCTCAATTTAATTCCAAATTGATTTCAAACCCTCCTTGGACTCATCCCCATCATTCCATGGGTCTAAACAGTCTAAATTGACCAAGTCAAACTTTGACTTGGTCAATCCAAGCC